GATAAATAGATTATAACACGAGAGATATTGATATATATATATATATATATATATATATATTCATGTTACAATAATATACATGTTGAAAGGAATATATAGCACAAATACAACGAATATCATTGGGCTTTACCGAGCTTTTATATCTTTCGTCTTTGTAGATCTCACGTGGAAGACGACATCGATTCTTTCGTTCAATCGAAAGTATTTTCTCGTCATCGCAATTCCCATAGATTCACGCGACAATCTTTGCCGGTCACATTTTCGCTTCTGGGAATCGCTTGATCGATATCCACGACTCATTCCATTTAGATCCTTCGAAATTTCATTGGCCCGAGCTGATTCGTGATAAAAGGTCGTCCGTGCAATTCCGATTTTCGCAACTGCTAAATCTGGCGTGGACGTCTCGCCTGAAAAAAGAATTTACGCGCTTTTATCACATCATAATACCACTCTTCCGCTCTTGTACAACGCAATGTATAAGTTTAAATTATAATGGCAGCAGTTACAATTCTCTCTCTCTCTCTAGATAGTAGAGTCACACGAGGCAGAACTACACCTTCGACTAAGTACGACGGCGGTGTGTCTCATAAATAATTAACGCTACGTAAAGAGCCACGTATGCGGGTGAAATCAATCTACGCTCGTTGCGAAATGTTGCAACGACATAAAGGCCCCCGTGCTCCGGACTCGTGTCGGCACTCGCAAATATTGACAGATCACCACGGCCAAGTTTCTCCGCAAGCGAACTGCTATAATATATATTAGAAATCGATTGGCTTTGATAGAAATTACGGAATTCCTCTGTGACCACCGGTCGCCAGTGTCAAGGGGCACGATCGGCCCGCGATCGTTATTGCAGGCGCAACGTAATCCGTCGTGGCCGCAATGTAATCTGGGTCTTTAGTACGAGTTCGTAAGTCGGGGACGAACTCAGTGGGATTCGCCCTCGACAAAGGTCGAGTCGATTTTAAATAAAGTATGAACACCCTGCGAAACACCCACATGTTATAGCCGCCGGACAATCGGGGATACGCATAATCGCTACGCCACGTGATCGAGGGTCCTTTACCTTTTGTCACCTATTTGTTTCGGCTCAAGGACGATTCGCGTATGCATTGTACATGCGTCTTGCTTATATCCCATCTCGCGTTGAAACATACATACGATTCAGAATTGTAAATTCTATCGGAGAATCGTGAGTCCCTTGTTAAGAAGCGTGATATAGATGCGGTTCTTTTTTTAAAATTATTTTAATAAATTATACGATATATAAATTCGGTGGAATGATATGTGATATTTACATGTATTTAAAAGAGAGGAGAGATTCTACAATTATAATCGACTCAGATAAGATAAGATTAATTGAGATTTTATGTAACTGACTTCTTAGTAGAGTATTAGATATTGAAATAATTAAAGGTTTTAAAAGTTGAGAGCAATTCAGGTTTAGTGGATATAATTAGCGGAATTAACATTAATACAGCGGAATTAACAGGAAACTAAGAAATTCCTAGGAATTTTCTAAATTACAAAATCAATAAATAGATATACATATATATTACATCATTAACAATTTCCGATATCTATGAGACTTATTGTCCTTGTAACCATAAAAGGCTTCATTAAATGACCTTACAACGCTGGTTTAATCTCATAATTCTTTTAAGAATTGCATGTAAACACAAATGCCTGCAAGGTTTCAAGTTTAGTGGCTGCTCGTATAAACTAACAAATTGGATAGAAATGATAATTTCTGACAAATATCATCTATAAAGGAGTCACTCGATATTTTTCTCTTCCTCTACGGTTTATCGGTAGATTTTACTATTATTGGCAAGCGCAAAGCTCGAGGTGACGTTACAGTTTTTCGTGTGCTCTACCCATTTGAAAATCGGAATAAAAGAAGAGGGCGCGAAGAGGCTTGCGAATCGAGTGAGGCAAATTCAGTTTTCGCGAAGGGGGGGGTTAATCCAACAAATGACTAAGAAATTACGGGGCTCGCCGAGACCTCGACGGACGGTCGCACGCGAGGAGCGAGTCAGCCACCAGTACGCGCGTCCCGGCTTACGCACACACACACACACACGTACGTCTTCGGGCACCTCGGTACGGGCGGCATCGACGCGTGTACCAGTCGCGCATCGACGGGACGACGCGCATCGACATCGACGAGGCGCGCCGACCGCATGACGGCGCCACGAGAAACGGCGTCGCGACGCTGTCGTCGGGCGGCGCCGATCGTGGAGAAACGTGGCGGGGTATGTAACGTGCGGGTATACGGACGGACGGACGGACGGACGGGCGCAGGCGGGCGGCGGATAACAGACGTGAAAGCAGCAGCGCCTCGGTCGCGTCGCCGACAACGTCGGTACTCCCGGATCGACCTTTTAGTCGCCGCGCGTTTCGCTCTCTCGATCGCTCTCGCGGCTCCTAGAGAGGCTCTCGCTCGACGAGCCCGGGTGCGAGTACGAGCGCGAGCGTGAGCGCACACGAGCGCTCCTTCCGCGGCTCCTCGCTCCTACCCCATCTCCTATCGTCTCTCTTTCTCTCCCTTCTCCGATTCTTTTTCTGTCATTCATAATTTTTCGCATTCTCTTCTGTTATTTTCCTCGTCGGCACGCTGGCTCCCGAAAACCACGTCTCGTACATACATACGTTTTGTCACCCGTTCACGCGGCCTATACCTACTAACTCCTCATCGCTCGGATCAGCTCCCGGTGAAAAATCTGGTTGCGAGAACCTAGCCTAAGAGAACCCGGCCTTCTATCGGGGAACAGCCGGTGAGCAAAGCGACAGGCGTTTCGCGCGGATGCACGCGTATTCAACGCGATGCCTGTGTGGTATATGTGTGTGTGTGTGT